CTATCTAAAAATAAAAAAAAATAAAACCGAACTCAGAGTTCTTTGACCAATGTTTTACATCCCAGTAAATGGCAACATTATTCTCCTAGTTGCTAGAACCAATAACAGTAGATCATCTACGAATTCTCTCTTTCATTGAGTATAATTTTATTGAATCTCTTCAGTATGATTTTCTGTTTTCTGTTTACTAGTTTTCTGTTCACTGGCATTTAGTCATGTCAGCTCTTCCTTAAAAATGTATTCTGAATCCAACTACTTCTTATCTTCTCAAGTAATACCACATTTTTCTAAGATTCCAGTTCACCATTATCTTTTGTCTTTTTTGTTTTATGTTTCTCTTATATTGATGCAGTTCATCTTCTGTACTCAAAAGACTCATTTGTGCTCACTTGTGATTGAAACCCTACCTGCCCAACCCCCTAAACGGTATCTAATAGTCTGTCTTCCTGCTTAGATTAATTTTTCCACTTTCAAACTTCTTATAAAGAGAGTTACAAAATACATACACTGGCTGCTTTTGTGAGATTCGTCCAAGTTGCCGCAGATGACCATAGTTGTTTTTTTTTTAAATTTCTTTATGGCATTCCCCTTTATGAATATGTCATGTTTTTTAAATCTTCTGTTGGATATTTAGATTTTTTCCAGTTTTGCCCCTTGTGAAAATTGCTACAGTGAGTGTCATGCTTATTGGCCATTTATATATTCACTTTGTGAAATACTTGTTCAGGGTGTCCATTTTTAAAATTAGGTTGTCAGTCTTATTACTGATTTTTAGGCATTATATATTCTGGATAATATTTTATAATGTATGTTTTCCATATCTATTCCCATTTGCCAGATTTTTTTCATATTATCTTTCAATGAACAGAATTTTTTTCTTTTAATGAGATCATATGTGTCAAGCCTCCTTCTTTTCCTTTATTAATTAATGCTTGTTGTGTACTATTGAATAAATCTTTACCAACGCCCATAATTCTAAAGATACTCTCCTCTGTGTTCTTCTAGAAGCTTGATGTTTTAGCTTTCACATGAATTTTTGTGCTTGGTATGAAACAGTACTCAAGTTTCATTATTTTCCATATAGATGTCTATTTAACTAACCACAATTTCATTGAAAAGTTCTGTTTTCCCTCTACATAATTGCAGGGGCACCTTTATCATAAATCAGATGAATGTATGTGTATAGGTTAATATCAAAAACACTGTTTTGCTCCATTGACTTACTTTTCTACCTTTATACCAATAACATGTGTCTTTTTTTTTTTTTTTTTTTTTTTTTGATACGGAGCCTCAAGCTATCCCCCTGGGTAGAGCGCCATGGCATCACACTCACAGCAACCTCCAACTCCTGGGCTCAAGCGAGTCTCCTGCCTCAGCCTCCCAAGTAGCTGGGACTACAGGCGCCCGCCACAACGCCTGGCCATTTTTTGGTTGCAGCCATCATTGTTTTTTGGCGGGCCCAGGCTGGGGATTCGAACCCACCACCTTAGGTGTATGTGGCTGGCGCCTTAGCCGCTTGAGCCACAGGCGCCGAGCCAACATGTGTCTTAATTACTGTGACCTTATAATAAATCTTGCTCTCTGATGACCTAAGTACTCTAGTTTTGCTATTATTTATCAAGATTGAATTGGCTACTCTAGGTCCTTTGCATTCATGGAATCCTAATAAAATTTAGAATTAGGCTGGGTGCAGTGGCTTGCACCTATAATCCTAATGCTCTGGGAGGCCGAGGTGGGTGGATTGCTGGTTGAAACCAGCCTGAGTAAGAGCTAAACCCTGTCTCTACTAAAAATAGAAAAACTAGCCAGGCATAATGGTGCATGCCTGTAGTTTCAGCTACTTGGGAGGCTAAGGCAAGAGGATTGCTAAAGCCCAAGGGTTTGAAGTTGCTGTGAGCTATGATACCTTGGCACTCTACCCAAGGCAACAGAGTGAGACTCTGTCTCTAAATAAATAAATAAATAAATAAATCTTAGAATTAACTCATCAATTTACACGCACATTTTTTAAGAAGCTGTTGAAATTTTGATTGCAGTTACACTGACTCTAAATAAATTTCATGGGAGTTGATAGCCTAACAAGTATTTAGTCTTTCAGTCCATGAATGTTATACTGTATATCCCTTCCTGGCCACATGATGTTTAGATCTTTTTCAATTTCTCTCAGCAATATTTCACAATTTTTAGGATAGATGTCTTGCATATATTTCACTGGATATTTGATGTTATTTGATTTTGTGGATTTTTAATTGTTCTAATTGTTACTTTACAGAGAAATACATTAGATTATTGTATATTTTGTTTGTATCTAATGACCTTTCCTAATTCATTTTTTTATTTGAATAGATTTTGTAGATTTGGAGGGGAAGAGCATTTACGTAAACAATCTCATGTGTGTGCAAATAATGCTTCTTCTCTGACAAACTATGTTTATACCTTTTATTTCTTTTTATTCCCTTATTACATTGGCTTCCAATATAATGTTGGATAGAAATGGTGATAATGGATATTTTTGTTTTGTTCCATAATCCAGTAAGAATGTGCTGTTGGCTATAGGATTTTTATAGATGCCGTTTTTTAGATTAAGGAAATTCTCTTCTATTCCTAATTTGCTGATGAATTGGTGTTGAATTTTGTCAGATATTTTTTCCACATTTAAGGTATTTTCTCCTTTATTTTGTTAATCTATGTATTCAGCTGATTATTTTTTCTGTCATTAAATGACTTTTGTATTTCTGGATAATGCTCACCTAGCCTTTATACACACACACACA